TGTGTCTGTCTCTCTGTCTGTCTGTGTCTGCCTCTGTGTCTTTCTCTGTGTTTGTCTCTGTCTCTGTCTCTGTCTCCGTCTCTGTGTCTGTGTCTGTGTCTGTGCCTGTGTCTGTGCCTGTGTCTGTGTCTGTCTGTCTGTCGGTCAGCCTGTCTGCCTGTTTGTCTGTCTGCCTGTCTGTCGGTCTGTCTGTCTGTCTGTCTCTGTGTATCTTTTTTGCAAGGTTGCGGAAGAGGTTTCCCCCCTCCCCTTTGTCATTGTTAGGAGTGGCGAGGGCGGAAACAGACAGCCTAGGCCTACCACCCCTGCGTCTGTCTCTCTGTCTATCTCTCTGGCTGTCTCTCTGTCGGATCTCTCTGTCGGGTCTGTCTGTCCGTCCGTCCGTCTGTCTATGTCTCACCCTTTCTTTCGCCAGGCTGTGGTGCAGGGGTTTGACCCCCTCCACCGTTCTTTGTCTGTCTCTGTCTGTCTCTGTCTGTCTCTGTCTGTGTCCGTCTGTGTCCGTCTGTGTCTGTCTCTGTCTGTCCGTGTCTGTCTGTGTCTGTCTGTGTCTGTCAGTGTCTGTCTGTCTGGAACCAGAACAATCAGAGAAAGGATTGCACAAGTGTGCGCGTGGGTGCGCGTGTGTGCGCGTGTGGCGTGCGTGCGCGTGTGTCTCTCTCTAACCAAGGTCGCGACCGAAGAAAGCTGGTCCTAGTAAAAGCATGTCGGGGTATGGAAGTCGGGTCGAAACATCTAGCAGCCATTCCAAGCTTTGATAAATCCAAGTCGCATCTTCTGCTGAAGCTTTTTCGCTTCTTTTGAGCTCTCGGCTTCTCGCATCTGGGCCTTCTTGCCTTGGCTTCACTCAATCCTTCGCTTGACGCTGGGCGTGACGGTCCTTCGCTACCTCACAAGTCCAGCTTTCAATCAGGTACACACGGGAGATAGATCTTCCCGGCCAGCTCCCCCGACGAAAGAGTTGAAGTGCATCCTTCCAGCCACTGGAATGGAGAGGCCATAGGCAACCAATGGCAAGCCCGTCTCCCACGCCTTTCTGGATGCTGCTGCGTCGGTTCGGTGCGCACGGAACACTTGCTGGGAAGCTCTGGGAAGTTGGAGACCTGTAGCCGCTTGCACTGAGACTTGGCCTTGTGCTCGCTAAAGGTCAGGTCCGACAAGAAAAGGCTCTGTCTCTCGTGACGCGTTGGCTAGAGCCGCTAGAGAATGCGAGCAGCCATGCCAAAATATTCCAAGCGACCCACGTGGGGTCTGCCCGCATCCCGAGTTCCTGGACTCAGCTCGGTGGCGGCTTCAGAGCTTGCACACGCATGCCCCAAGCGCTCACAACGCCCTCGCGCCTTCAGTGCGTTCTGGCATTCAGTGACAGATGCAATCTCCAGATCAATCGGGCAGCCGGCAGTGCCTCGCTCAAACCACGGGATGAGTGAATCGTGTTGCCGGCATGTTTTTGCAGCTTCCCAGCCTTTCTCCAGCAGTTCGTATCTTGAAGCTGTGGCCGCGCTTGAATCATCCTCCTCTTCTTCCCCCTGAACCGGCACTGGCAGACGAACAGGCTCCCAACGCATTGTAGAAGGGGCACCTGATCGAGCAGCATTTCTTCGTCCTCCTCTTCCTGCAGACTGCCCCGCAGATGCCAGCGAACTCGGCGCTGTGCAGCTCTCTGCTCTCCTCCTTCCATGAAGCACTTCCCAGCCAATGCTTCGAGCGCTGAAGCGTCAGCCATTCCTGCTCTCTCAGTCGAAATGTCACTGAGTCGAGAAGGCGACCGCCTAGTAAGGGATGTCCTTCAGAGCTTGGTAGGAAATTTCCGTGCTGATGTAGACCTGCTTCGTCGATGCCTCCGGCCCGTACCTAACACGGCAGGCGCATGACACCACCTTCCGGGTCCATAGGCTTTGAGCCCAGTTGCTGCACAACTACCTGTGGAACGGACTCGACGCTGTAGAGATCAAGCCTCACTGATTCTCTGCTGTGGACACGATGTGTGAGAGAGATTGCAAGCGTGAAAAAACAGGAATTGCGTCGCTCAATCATCGTAAACCGTGCAACAAAGCGACAGAGGATTTCTCTGATTGTCCTCCTCCGCAGGCACGAAACCAAACTCCATGTGTGGCCAGAGGTCATCGTCACTGGATAGCGCCTTCTCCAGCTTGCACGGACATCTGATCGTAACGTCAAAGCAACACACCTAGAGTATCGGGTCTGGCCTTGAAAATGACCGGAGTTCGCTGACGTCGAGAGAAAAGCAATACTTTTATCGGCCGCGCCCGTCCTTCCAATCACGAGTTTCAAACCAAAGAACCTTCTTCGTGATGCTTATGTTGCGGCAAGGTCCTGCAAGGAAACTGTTCAAGTTGTTGGCGGTGATGTGCAACGTCCTGCAGGCCCAGTCGGAAGGAGTCATAGGAGGAAGAGAAGCATTCAATGTATTTACGAACTGGGTACACGTAGAGATAGTCAGCATCTGGTGCCCGTGTCGGCGTTAGACTGATTAGACCAGCCTGGGCCTAGGCATTGCCGACTCAAGGCTATGCCTAGAGTTCATGAATCAAGGCCTGTCTGTCTTTCTATCTCTCTCTCTCGCTCTCGCTCTTGCGGCCGCTTGGAGTGCGAGTGAAAAGCACAGGCTGGGCGATGCGAAGAAGAACCGAGGCAGTCTTGACTCTGTCGGTCCTACTTGCGCGCAAGTCGTAATTCCAGCACTCCGGGGCTGAGGGATCAACATAAAAACAAACACCGATCAAAGTCTGGGATCAAAAACAAATCAGAAACAGTGATCAAACAACAAAATATCAAAACTCTTGTCTGATCAAAACAAAATCAAATAAGGATCTAAAAAAGCGCGCCGTGCCAGGGGCAGACTGCCCGGGGTGGCAATGGTACTGGCAGTAGCAGTATGCATGCGGCATCCATAGTGGCGACTCCGGTTCATCACATACTTTCAACATCCTTTAACACGCTGCCTCATTTGGCGATTTCGGTTCAGCCTATCTTAAACACGCCCATTCATGTGTCGATTCCGGTTCATCATATGTCTTAAACACGCCCCCTCGTTTGGCGATTCCAGTTCATCATATATTTAAACACGCCAGTTCACTTGGCGCCTCCGGCTCATCATATGTCTTAAACACGCCCCTTCATTTAGCGATTCCGCTTCATCATATATCTTAAACAGGCCCCTCATTTGGCGATTTAACACGCCTCTTCATTTGGCGATTCCGGTGCATCATGTCTTGAAAACGGCGCTCATGTGGCGATTCCGGTTTCATCATAAATCTGGAACAGACCCCCTGATTTGGCGATTCCAGCTCATCATCTATAGCTTAAACACGCCCCCTCATATGGCGATTCCGGTCTATCCTATATCTTAAACACAACCCCTCCTTCCTCCCTTCCTTCTCTTCTTTTAGAGAGAAAGACCAGATAAGACCAGTTTGTGACTGTTTACGGGTGCGCGCTCCATGCACTGGTTTCAGTGGGCGCTGCTTGCAAGAACACAGGGGCCCGTTTTCACGGCCTCGTGACTTGCACCATGTTCATTGAATAACGTAGCAATAGTGAAAGATGTTAAATATCAACTTGAAACAACGTGAATAGCTCGACATGTGTCGCACACCGCGATGCATCTTCAATCTTTTCCCACTCTCACCATTGCGCTCGCCACTTGCGAGCCCCGAGTTTGGAAACACGTGGTCCTGACCAGATGATTGCTGCACCAGTATGAGTTCCAATACGTTGGTGATCTTGACGCTTGATGCCCCGTGTATTAAGGCAGAGCTACTACGGTGAGTCCAAAGGTGTCTGTCCCTGTCACACCGGGCGCAGAAGAGCAGGCGACAAGGGAAGTTGTCCAAAAAGGGTGGGTGCTGTGTCAGGCCTGAGTGTGGGCCCAGCCTCTGTTTCCGCCAAGCACCGCCAAGCGAAAACAGCCGCAGCTTCAGAGACGACACATTCGGATCTGGTCGCCCAGCCATCTGCGGAACAGACTGGCTAACCCATTCTGAAGGTGACTGCCTGCACTATAACTGCCTGCACTATAGACGCCAGATAACCCCAAGCAGACTGTCTCTTTGGGTTTGAGTCGGTCTGAGTTGTTTATACACTCCCATGCCAGGCGAGGTCTCACAGTGTCGGGTCGGCGTTATACAACTGAGATGATCCCTTGACCGTCTGAGTTGTTTAGGGCTCTGCCCGGGCTACCGTGACAAACGGGCACTCACACTGCAACCGCAACCACCATACCATCTCAACCCAGGGCCAATCCCAGCAGCTAAACCGAACGCAGCAGCTAAACCGAACGCTACTGCGTTTGAATGAGAAAGGTCTTGTAGCAGCCTGCCCAATTCCTTCGGATTACCTCTCGCCGTTGGTCACTGGTAACGAATTGTCTCCTCTTGTCTTGTGCTGTATGCCTTGACGGCACCCTCGTCCGGCGGATGCCGTTCTTTCTGACGGTCTTGCAAGGAGTCTTGGCTTAGCTTCTTCTCGCTCCGAGTCCTGTCGTTGAAGGCCACCATTTTGGCCTGGGGAAGTACGCGCACGAAGGGTTTGCCAATGGTAGAGTCATCAGACCAAGCTTTCGGCAACAGCTGCAGTGAAGCCTTCTTTCGTATGCTGCCCCCGGTAGAATCTGCCACCACCTTGCAGCGAAGGAATTGGGGTCAGAATCGCGTGGTGCTTCTCTGATGTACAAGATGCTCCCCCCAGCACGGGATGTAAGATACGATACACGGATACATAATTTGGGCAATCCCAGAACTCACAAAGATCGAGGCGTGAGAGCATTACACAGCGGCGCCAGATTCCTTTGCTCTCAGGTCGCCGAGACCTGTCCACATAGCCTTGCCGGATTGCCCTGATGCATCCGAAGTTCACAAATCAGATCAGATCAGGGTGTGCAATCACCGTTCAAGTGAGGCACGTGGCCCGCGCGGGTACAGCAGCACCATCGGGGTGCGCCGGATATTCTGTTCAGTACATTTAGACCTCCATGCGTCGCAGTTGAGAATTCCAAGGCCTTGCAGGAAGTGCCAGCATGATTTGTCGGTTCTACTCTACTCGGCAGCGCAAACAGCTCAGAGATACTACGTGATACTTCTAACGATTTTGCCCAAGTCACATGCCAAGCTGTCTACTTCATCCGCAGATTCCTGTTGTCGAGCGCAAACATATCGAAGCAAATGCACCGAGCAGAAAGCTCAACAGACATGTTTGTCCTGAAAGGCTCTGATCGTTTCGACATCTGCTATCTCTGAGGCGAACAAGACCATTGCTGGACCTGAGGCTAATGAACTATGGTGCCGACGCTGCAACACACAGAGACAGCAGATGCCGGCAGGCACCCGAGCCTGGGCATGTGCCCTCCTCCAGAAACTGTTCGAAGTCATGGCCGAGGGTCCTGTGTATTCACACGCAACTTTAGCCGATCACAAAAAAGGCTTGGAACACTCGCACGAGTCTGACAATCCATATTGAAACAGAAACCGCATCCCCAGATCCGGTTGATCTACAAGATCTACGGCAAAGTAACCGTGCCTGGCCGGACCTCGTCTGTCGTGTTCGCCTGCAGACAGGCTTTGGCCATCAAGTCTTGCAGCTGGTGGATACTGGAAGCTACCTGCGCAACTCGCCAGGAGTTCTTGTTCCTGGTAGTTTTTCTGCTACGCAACAGCAACCACTGTTCCGAGGAAATTGGGATGCAAACAGGCTCTTATTCCGACAGAAGCCTAGAAGTCTATGCAGACCAGGCCTCCGCTGACCTGCAGCCCTGCATAGAGCGCCAAGACGAGCAATGCCACCATGGATGGGGCTATCCGACTCTAGGCTCTGGAGGTCGGACAAGGGACTGGTTTGGCTTGGTTTGTGTGGGGTCGCGCCCTGCACCGCCTGAACGATGCTCTGCGATGTAACCACTTAAACAGACGGCAACGTATGGGCAGCAAGACGAGTCTTGAGGCATGTCTGCTGTAGGGAGAGCGGCAAATGTTGCTGCGAGGATTTGCCTCGTGAAAGGATGCCTCACCTTCTGTTCACATGCCGTCTGGTTTGCTTGAGCACTTAGCAACATCCAGCAGAAAAATGCCTGTGGCATGTTCCCTTGTGGGAGGGCATGCTTTTGATTGTTTGGTTCTGCCAATCTGAAACACAGCGCGCGCGCAACGTGCGTGTTGCTGAAGCCCGAGAACAGACGAAACACAGGCAGCCATGCCTCTCTGATGACCTTCCATGGCGTTCCAAGGACCTCAACAAACAGTGACTGAGACTGTCTTACAGAAGCCACACCATCGGAATTCCAAAGGCAAGAAGATGCAAGAAGATTCGAGGTGCGACATCTGCGTGACAGCCACATGGCTTGGAAACAAGATGTGTTGGGAACTGGTCGTGCCACTTCGGGGGAAGCCAGATCAGGGGAATTTTTGCCTCCTGCATGGCTGAACGAGTCGCGAAGCAGGGTGATGGTTCCAAGATCAGTGGAATAGGACATGCAATCAGCCCGGGAAGTGCTTCTTGAACGAGGACTGCTCGAACATATGCTCTAGGCCATCTGCCTGAGACACTGAATCGCGGAGGTAGTGAGTGCACCTGCGTCAGCAGAGCTGCCCATGGCCAGGCACAGAAAAGCAGAGCCGGGAAGCCTATAAGGAAGCAGTCCTATAGACTCCTCTCAGCGAGGACGAAGGCACTTGTGGACGGTTTACGTGGGAAACTTGGAGGTCGGCAAACCGGGGCCTAGCGCACGCCCGGAAACTCACTGCATTTTTATGCGCATATCGCCGAGCGGCATTGTGGCAGCCAGGGTGTTCCCGTTGTGCAGCTGGCTCCAGATCAACTGGCAACCCTGGCCGGACAGCTTCCCACTTCCTACACGGTCAACCTAAGTTGAAAGGCTTGACTACACGTTGACGCGTTCATCGACAGCTTGCCCCGGTGACCCAAAGAAATGCGTGGAAAGGCACATGGAACGACGGCTACTCCGACTTGTAGCACAAGCATCTTGAAGCGCACAGGCGATGTCAGCAAGTAAACCGGACAGGGACCTCGCAGGCGTGACCAGGTCTCAGCCACTGCGTTGGCCGTGTGAAGTATCGCACCTGTGGTAGGCTCAGCAACTTCAGTAACCTCTCTCTTTTGGGCATGAGAAAACACTGTTGCCTGAAATTCGAGATGCTCCGGATGTAATGCCATACTTGACTCGCTCCACTGTCTAAATTACAACCGTTCTCCAACGACAAAATGACCGTCCATGGCAGCGGAAGACTGCACTGATGCTTCGCTGAGAGTGGGTGTCGCAGGACAGCAGGAGCAATGGCTCCTCTTCTTGTGTGCTTGATTCTTGCCCCTAACCATAGTCTCCGGCTTTGCTTTTTGGGAGTTGTTACGCTTCAGTGGCCAACATCGCGAACTTAACTGACATCAGCATGCCTGCACGACATAGTGCGCTGGCTGGCCACAACCTTGACAACGCACTTCTGTCTTGAAGTCCTGCAGCAAACCATCGCACTGTGACGCCACACATTCTGGTCACATTGTGGTTTGTGGCAGAGACAGAAAGCAAGGAGTGGTTTGCCTGCTCCTGCTGCGCAGCTTCTTCACGTGAGTTCGCCAACGGAGGTACTGGCGGAAGCCTGAAACCAGCATATAGAAGCATGACGCCTAAACAGACGCTCACCCACCTTTCCGTGGCTTAGACGGAGGAGACCTCTTGATGTTGCATTCGTGGTATCCACACTAGCTCTAGCGAGCATTGGCGAAGTAGCTATCTGGACAGCCAGCCTCAGGCACTTGACGGGCGAGCCAGTTCACCAGCCACAGTGTCACCAGATTACTGACGTAGTTTGCTCGGCTTGGTTGTGCACCTTTCTTTGTATGCATGCCGTCACATCTGGAACTCGTCGGTCTTCAGCCAGTCATTCGTTTCATCAGTCTTACAGGGCTTGTTTCCTCGACCAAGCCGTAACAATGCACGGCCTTGCAATGCCCAGACCAGCATGGCATCGGTGCGTGAAGCGATTCTCACCCCAATCACGTCCTTAAGATTTGCAAGCGCGCGGCAGGCCTGCTGTGAGTATGGCAGATCAGGCATTGCCAGGTATGCTCCTGAGAACGCTTCACTGCTACGCAAACACGAAAAGATCACCAAGAAGTCGACTAACAATTCGACCCATGTGTTGGGCCTCCGCTGCTGCCAGGTATAGAGAAGCTGCTGTTGGGGCAAACTGGGGGTCCACCTTGCAGAGCTGGGAGACTGCATCACGGCTCGCAGTGGGCGGCGAGCATACTGTGATGTCGTGTCGACTGATACGCAGCACCTGCGGATCCAACTGGGGTGTTGGCGTAAGTCTCGCCGCGCTGAGCACAAGCCCTACACAGGACACTCAGCTGAATACATCATGACATTCACCCCTCTGCACGGCAGTTGTTAAAGCTAGTATGCAATAGTATGCAGTTGGAGATCGTCGCATCACAAACACGCATGCAGGAGCTGTCAGTGGTTGCCTTTCGATTCCCACCACTTCTGCAGGAGTCACCCGAAACTTGGCAGCATCAAAGCGCTCGAAGGACACCACCTGCACGAAGGGAATGTGCCGGCGAACTGAGGGCAAGCGTTATGTTCAGCTCCCAAATCCAGCACTAACCCAACAGTTGGCAGCCTTGGGTTCTGAAAAAGGAGTAGTCGATCGCAGCTGCTCGGCTGGCACCTGCACCGAGGTGTCGGGACGAAAACGCGGAATCCCCCAACAAAAACTCTTTGCGTGGGCTGAGGCATGGCATGCCTCAGCCCCATCTTCTGGAGACCGTGGGCTGCCTGCAACTGACACGAGGAGCCATGTGCAAAGCTGTACAGGGTCGAGCTGGCCTGCTGCAAGACGAGAGACTTCCGCGTCTGTAGTCTCTGCTTCGGGCGAAACATCATGCCTTTCTCACGCCACAATGAGCTGAAGGTCAGCCAGAAGGATCCAAGTCTTAGGCTGCGGCGCTTTCTCACTATCGTCATGCCGGTAGAAGACATGCGATCTGGCCGCAATGCAAAACCGCAGACAGCCTCTTCTTTCTATACGAACTTGTGCACTCGCCGGAATACACCAAAAACAAAAAAAACACTATATCATCCCATCTCATGCTGTTAACACGGCAGCCCTGGCAAAAATACAAGTGACCCCGCAACAAGCAGAAAGAAAGCTCACTCCTCTCTTGACAACATCTTGCCTTTCATACCACGGATTTACCGTGCAAAATCTGACCCAAGGACTTAAGCGGATGAGGTGTAGTCGAACACAACACTATGCGGATGCTGCAATTCGTCATCGTCAGGCTCTACACACACGCGAAAAGTGTAGAGTTTTGAGTGGAGACCTGCCGCCCGAACCAGCAGACGGTGCCTTGCTTCAAGCGTAATGCAGCATGCATGACACCAGTCGACTTCTCTCTGGGTCTCTGTGAATCGGAAAGCTGTCTGCAAGTGCTTAGCGACTGCAGCTGCATTTGCAGAAAGTTTCACTTTGAGTTGCACACGACCGGCTGTCGCCCTGTAGCCTGAAGCAGCGCATCAACTCAGAAACACTCAAATGGCTGGCTCTGTCCTCATGGCATGCCGCGACAAACATGTAGATCTTGTGGAATTTCCGGGTGCAGGCGAGCTCATCCACTGAAGAGCGGACGCAAAGCTCGGCAGTCCGGCAGGCTGATTTGCTGGTTTGCACGCACAGCGGAGTAGTAGTAGTAGTAGTAGTAGTAGTAGTAGGAGGAGTAGCAGCAGCAGCAGCAGCAGCAGCAGCAGCAGCAGCAGCCCGCAGCAGCAGCAGTCGTCATAATAGTAGTAACGGCGCCGCGTTGCCACGGTTGCCGACGTCTCGCACACGATCTGCGTCCGACGAGGGGACAATCTTTGGCAGAAGTCGGCTGCACTGCACTATTGGCAGCTCCACCATTCAAGAGATCTAAGAAGCCAAAAAATCGCACTAATCCATCCCATCCAAAGTGATGATTTGCGCGATGCTGCTTCTGCCATTGGCCTCATGATCTGCCTTATGGCAGCGACGGAAAACACCTTGGTTGTCTCCTGAAGCAATTTTTACTGTTTGCGGCAAAAGGCTCCGACAACCAAGGACGAATCAGCACAAGCATTCGATCTCCCGTGTGCGTGCATGTCGCAACCGCAGCCGTGCGAACCGACGGCATGCTTCGCGGACGACTGATGAATCAGTGCAACCGCACATGGGGAGAAAACCACTGGACCAATGATCAATGGGCGAAAGACGGCAGCTGAAGCAAAAGCAAAGCGCAGCAGAAGAGGCATCCGCGCCATTTGACCGCAGGATCCAATGCTGAGATGCTAGAATGGTGTCGGATTTCGGCCGAGGGCCGAGGACGCAAATAGTGCTGAGAGGCTGAGAGCAACTAAGGTTCAAACGGTTAAGGTTTGAGCCCTCCGAATGCTGGCTGCTAGCTCCACAAACACTATTCCTTCATCATTGCGACGGTGCAGGGAAGGGGACATGGTCGCGATGACTGTTTCTTGGCAAACGTCCCTGCTCGAAAGCCATGCTGTTGCATATGATGATTTGACTGAACCTGGCAGCTTCGCCAAACCGCTTTGATGCTTAGGCTGTTGAGACCGACTCTGTTCTGCAATGCGAGTGTGATAGGTGACGAGGCCATCGCCTCTGCTTTCGCGGAGGAATCCTCCTCCAGGGACAACCTCGACAGTCGAGAACCAGGCCGCGATAAACACACTGTCTGCAAATGACGCAACACTTCTCATCAAGGAGCAAGAGCTGCCGAATGATCCCAATGGCTGCCTGCAACACCTGGCGCATCAAAGGAGTGGGGGTAACACCGCAAATACACATGCACAAAAACTGAAAAACCACTTGGCACCACCACACCTCTAAACTCGATTGGGCACGCATGGAGAAACCTGGAGCTGCCAAGCTAAACGGCTCACTTGCAATCCTGCTAGGGCAATGCTGAGAAAGCGACCTTTCTTTTCTTGTCGTATGCCACATGCGGATAGAACCTGGGCAGCAGTCACCACTTCTGAAGCGTGGGATACCTTGATCGCCAGCCGGGATGCAGCACATAATGCCTTGCGAGAGCCCCGTGCCCGCAGAGCTTGTGGCGAAACTTTGCCAACAACCTGCAGACAGGAGCAGCAGTTAGCTTGAACATCATGAGCAATCAAAACGCACCCAGCAATTGCCAGCATGATCCCGTCAGCTGTGAACAAGCAAACCCACCACTGCCGAAATGCTCTTTGTTGACGACGCTCCAAATCAACAGGATGTGCTTAAAAAACTATATGACTGCAACTAACCCCCTTGTCCCCTTCTCCCCTTCTCATCTTCAAGCCAGTCTTTGCCGGAGCTAACCACGTGTCGGCATCACTGGGACATAGCATGTTCAAGATGCCCTCATTCCGGAGTGCTGATTTAAAACAAGTCATCTCGCTTGCCTGCATGGAACCACTGCTGCGATAGACTGGGTTCTCCAGTTCTCTTTGGATGGCATCTAGTGAAGCCAACACCTGCACATGGGGCGGTACGCAAACTGGCGACGCTGCTGTGACATGCCTGAACTACATGCCCCAATCGGGCCTCGACCATGGTGACATGCAAAGCGGTCGAGTCCGACCTTGCAGGTGAACATCAAGCCTGTGATTGTGGCACGTGTGAGATTTATTAAATAATTATTGGCTCAATTGGTCTGCTTGAGTTTGCACGCATCTTTCTGTTGCATCTCCACCACGCGGTCCCGCCGAACCCAGAATGCACTGCGCCAAGGTCCGACGATACAGTGCTGCTACAACATGACACCCCAACCCAGGCACTACTTCGCAGGGTCCCCCTACAGAAAAAAAGCCCGCTCCTGGTTTTCTCCGGTGTTGGTCCCCGACTGTTTGTGTGACAGGTGTCAGATCGAGGAAAGGGATCACGGGCTCGGTTCTCTTTTTCTCTTTTTCGATCTTGTTTACGCGCGACAAGCAGTCCCTGTGACATGCTCGGCTGGGCGGCCCGGTCCACGTCTCTCCACTTAGGCTGGTAATGTCTTGGAGCGTACCGAAAGGATGCATTTCACTACCAGAGAATTTCTCGATTGCTGCTCAAGCTCGCTCAGCACCAACCATGCTAGCTGGACAAAACTACGGCTCAAGCTGCCGCAAGCTTCCCCCCCAAAAGTCTCCACACAGTCCGGTAGCATGTCCGGTGGCAGCATAGGCACCATTCTTCAGGGTGTCCCTGAATCGGAGGCTCAAAGTCGGTCACCCGGGCAGAAACCAAATGATTTCATCTTCGTTCTGAAGGGAAGAAAGGAAAAGTTTTGCTCCCTTCCTGCGTGTGCGTGCCCCGTTTGTTGGAAAGGAAGGAGCTGAAGAGACACGGCTTAGTGCTACCGACCTTGCCATGGGTTCATGACAGCAAGAAGCAACACCCATTTAGAGTTCAATCATGCTACAGAGGGCCCAAGGCTTCGTTCCCCCCCACGTCCCGCAGCTTCCTGCACCACTGGCATCCGATTGTTATCCACTCAAAGGACTCTGCGCGCATCAGCCAGCGCCATAAACACATGGGCACCTACACTCTCGACTCTCGGCGTGCCGGATGCCCCTCAGCTCCCCCCACCGTGGTTTTTGTGTGGGACACCAAACGCCAGCCTAGTTTATCCTAGTTTCTCCTCGGGGGTTTCATCTGGGGCTTTCGTGGGGCCCAACTCTGCACTCACGAACCTCTGCCGTGGCCTTGAAAGTACCAACACTAACTACTGTACCGAGGGAAAGCCCTGCAGGCAGCGACGCGGGTGACGATTGTAAGCGTTGCTCCTTTTCTGTCACTGCAACTCTGTGCTTCCCAGTCTGTGTCCGCCTCTCATTTTGTTCTTTGGCAGCCTGGTCGGGTGGTCTCTTCACACGCACCCCCTCTGGAGAGTCTTGCTGTCAGGAGGAGCTGCCCATGTGAGAGGGACTTGCCTTGTTTGATAAATCGTGGCGGCAAACGTGTGCAGGCATTACTCAGATTTCGTCAGCCTCTCCTATGCACAGGGCCGCCTCCCGAGAAGCGTTTGTCAAGAGTCATGCACCCAATCCGGCTGCCGCCAAACTGTCCACCCACGCCGCTGCTGTGATGGGCCGTCTACGCCAAACCCCCTTGCAATCATTGTTCCTCCCAGTCGTTGGCCAACTTCCATTTGTTCACAGTAAGATTTGTGCATCAGATAGCTCGGACTGTCGGAATGTTGTGCTCACGCGAACTGTTGTACATGTTGCAAGTCGCTCTCGTCAGCTTGAACACTTCACACATCGACGCGTGTTTCACGAATCGCAGCTCGTTGTGGCGGGGGACGCCCCAGAGCTAACGCTGCATCATTCCTTTGTGCCTGACGTAGCGGGGCCACACCCCTGTGGGGGTCGTCTTTTTCTCTCATCCGGGTGTGCATGCCATTACTCGCATCTGGCATACTCGGAAATCTTCATCTCATCTTGTGTGTTTGTGCTTGTGTGCCTGTGTGCCCGTGTGCTTGTGTGCTTGTGTGCTTGTGCTTGTATGCTTGTGTTCTTGTGTGCTTGTGTGCTTGTGTGCGTGTGTGCTTGTGTGCATGTGTGCTTGTGTGCCGTCGTGCCTGCGTGCCTGCGTGCCTGCGTGCCTGCGTGCCTGCGTGCCTGCGTGCCTGCGTGCCTGCGTGCCTGCGTGCCTGCGTGCCTACGGGCTTGTGTGCCTGCGGGCTTGTGTGCTTGTGTGCCTGTGTGTTTGTTTGCTTGCTTGCTTGTGTGCTTGCGTGTTTCCGTGCTTCTGTGCTTCTGTGTTTCCGTGCCTCCGTGTCTGTATATGTTTGTGTTTCTGTGCTTGTTTTTTCTTTTAACTTGCTTGTTTGTTTGTTCGTTCATTCGTTGGTTTGTTTGTGTCTGTGGCTCTGTGTCCCTGTGTCCCTCTGTCACTGTGTAAGCGCATCCGAAACTACTGGTCGAGAGTCCAGGGGCGCGGCTGTTCACCAACAATGGCATCGATAGCCGATTCTACAACAGCCACCTGCTCCACGGCTTGCCGAACTAACACGATCAAACAACCGTGCAGTTAGGGCTGCGCACCGAAGAACTGCGCTGCCGCCATCGTCTGCAGCAGCGCATCCGCCCCTGATTCGCTCAATGCCATGATGCAAGACACGAATGGAAGGTGAAGCATCGGTGGTGAATGACATGTCCGCTTTCTGCACAACAACAACATCAATCAATCAATCAATCAGTCAATCAGTCAATCAGTCAATCAGTCAATCAGTCAATCAATCAGTCAATCAGTCAATCAGTCAATCAGTCAATCATCCCATCCCATCCCATCCAATCAAACCAAATCAAACCAAATCAAACCAAATCAAACCAAATCAATCCAAATCAATCCAAATCAATCCAAATCAAACCCAATCAAATCCAATCAAATCCAATCAAATCCAATCAAATCCAATCAAATCCAATCAAATCCAATCAAATCCAATCAAATCCAATCAAATCCAATCAAATCCAATCAATCAATCCATCCATCCATCCATCCATCAATCAATCAATCAATACGGTTAACAATATCAACATGTACTTTTTGTGTTTTCTTCACCACACCTCTTTCCTGAGCATGAGTCTCGGGTGCCTGCTGCACATGTCGGGGCTGTTTTCTACCCTTTTTTTCCTACCCTATGACTACCCTACGGGAGGCGTAGCGGCAGGCGGCTCGGCCGTGCGGCGTTTGCAAGGTCGCGCACATGGGGCTCGCGTGAGGAGGCGCCGGCCAAGCTGACCCGTGGGCAGTGCTCGTGACGGGCTGTTGTACCGACACTGTCAACATGGCCCACCAACACCTGGCCACGTAGGGCTGGCGGAGCTCGTTGGGCGCGGACACGGTCGCGGAGCAGCTGGTGCTCACCGGCATTCCACCGCCCGCCGACTTCGCTCCCGAGCTCCGGGTAGGCTCGCTTGCGGCGCTCCGGCGACCCGCAGCGGCTCCGTCGTGTGCAGCGCGCAAGCCTGCAGGCCTGTGCGTGACAGCAGCGACACAAGTGCGGCGTCGCAGCATAGGGCCCCCCGAGAAGCGTTGCTCCGTAGACGACGTGGTGTGTTTTTTTTTTCACGGACTTGTCCTCTCCGCTGAAGCGGTCTCATCTACCGGCCTGTTCTACCTCTACTGCCTCTACGGCCCTTCAGCGGGGCGGCAAGCGACTGCATCCTGCCAGCTCAGCCAAGTCCAGGACGCGGTCCAAGTCTGGGCCGTCCGACTGGCGTGGCTGCAAGGGGGCAGGCCACGCCTGTCCCAGAGCAGTGCTGCCCACGGCTTGCTGCACCGCCACTGACAGTTGGGAACACCAGGCCGTTCGCGCTGCGCTGCGCAACGCTGGCGGGGCGCTGTAAAAGCGGAGGCGGACGAGAGCTTGAACGACCACGAGCCGTGGTCAG